GTGAATTGTAGCCTCAGTTTCCTGTTGTTAGCTGACAGGAGTGGCACCTGGTGTGGTCTTCTGCTGCTGTAGCCCATCTGCTTCAAGGTTGGACAAGGTGTTGTTGCTTCAGAGATGCTCTTCTGCACACCTTGGTTGGAACCAGTGCTTATTTGACTTCCTGTTGCCTTTCTATCATCTTGAACCAGTCTGGCCATTCTCCTCTGACCTCTGGCATCAACAAGGCATTTTGGCTCACTGGATATTTTCTCTTTTTGGGACCATCCTCTGTAAACCCTAGAGATGGTTGTGCTGAAAATCCCAGTAAACACTCAGACCAGCCCGTCTGGCACCAACAACCATGCCACGTTCAAAGTCACTTAAATCACCTTTCTTCCCCATTCTGATGCTCCGTTTGAACTTCAGCAGGTCGTTTTTACCATGTCTACATGACTAAATGCATTGAGTTGCTGCTATGAGATTGGCTGATCAGCTATTTGCGTAAACAAGCAGTTGAACAGGTGTACCTAATAAAGTGGCCAGTGAATGTGTAACTGTCCATAAATACCCACCAGAAACTTACTTTTTACTGGTATATTGTCTCATCTGATGAACATGTTGGAAAACTATAGAGGACCCAGGACAGACCCTTGGAGTACACCACAGAACAGAGTTTTGACTTTGAGTTAAAGCTCCAATTAATGATCATTTTCAATTATATCTTATTGATTGTTAACAAAATGTCAGAAATAGTAAAATATGTCCATGGCAGTTTCCCAGAGTTCAAGGTGACACCGTCAAACACTCTGTTTTGTTCATCTAATGATCAAAAAAACAAAGACATTCTGTTTACAATGTTGTACAACAGAGAAAAACAAACATTTCTCACACTGGAGAATCAAAAATCAGAGAATATTTGGAACTTTTGCTTTAAAAAAAGATGATAAATATATTATCCACATAGTTGTTGATTCATTTTTCCAAGTGCTCTAGCCTGTCTGTCAGCTATTTTGTTAACATTTTTCCATAAATCAATAAATGCAGCCTTTAGTAAATAATTCACCGCTTGATTGAAGATTAGTAGGAAAGAAACGGCCATTTAAGTTGATAGACATTTTGAAGCTTAAATAATGTGTAATTAAACATAATCTGCAACTTGATGAGACCCGGGACAGAACCTTGGGTTACACCACGAGCCAGAGCTGCTTTAAATAAAGGGTTTGAGTAATATTTCTGCCACTTCACATGAAGTTTCTGATATAAAATAGCTACGACTGTGAATTTATGCATTCTTGTTACCAAAAACAGGACAAAGTGACACAGGAGAACAAGAGGAGCATACTGTCAAATGTTTAATCTGTTCAGTACAGGGTGTTTATCTCAGTGCAAGTGCCAAAACAACAATATCGAGCCGTGTTTGTTTTATGTACAAATCTGAACTTTGGCATCGAGAAGCAGAGCGGGTGGTGGAGGAGACAGAGACACTGAAGGCAGCAGGAGGGTCCAACACAAAAGTGAGACAACAAACAGTTTGGATCAGAGCTGAAAACATCTGAAAAACCAGCAGCAAAGAAACCAAAAAACTGGATGCCTGAACAGAGCGGGAGGTCAAGAATCAAACTGAACAATAACACAGAATGACGACCGTCGTTTCTTCTTCATTTCAATCAACCACAAAAACAAGTCAATGAACAAAATTAATGGTATATATATTTATATTTATATATCTAAAGTGCATTATGGTACAAAAATATAGAAGGTCAGCAGCACCTCGATACATTTACAAAATAAATACACCATTCAGACAAAATAAATTACCGCAAAAAAATCTGACATAATTGGAATAAAAAAAAGAAGAAAAAAAAAAGCAAGGATTCACAAAGATTAAAATCTGTTGCCTCACAGAGCATCAAATAATTTTTTTAATCATATTCTGCTATCTATTCTGCTATATTTAGAATATTTACAGACAATAAATATTTTCCAATTTCTTTCCAAACAATCACTATTACAGAAGACTGTAACGTGAATATTTAGGAGTCCACTCCGACTGTCCGTAGGTTTCTGAAACACAAAGATAAAGAGAAGGAAACAGGTTAGTTCACTGGTTTATTTGTATGTTTGAAGCATCAAACACAATTTTAAATAATTCTTATTACTTAATATAAAAGTTAAAGTGATGCAGTAACATATAAGAACTAATTAAGATAACTGAAGTTTAGTAGAAAATAAATATGTTACGTTTTTATATAAATAAATATGCTACGTTATCTGTAAATTTGTATGAGTTGCTGTATTTATAATTATTAGACAAATATTAACAGGGCAATCTCAAGATTTAGCTTCAGATTAGTTTTGATCATAAGTGACTGAATGGATATTGACACATTTTACTTATCTGTACCAGATACTTATTTCATGGGAGTATTCACCTCAGCCCTAATTATTACCTTGATTTGCTTTTCAAGTTTACTTGGTAACAGTTGGGGCAATGGGTTTCCTTATTTTTTTAACTCTTTAAAACCCGAAGCAACATCTCTTTTCTTGTGCTGCTTTCAGACGCCTTTCACAAGTATTGAACACTGAGCTAATTGGTGCGATTTCTTTTAAAAATATGGGGAAAAAGGCACAGAGCAATTTGGTATGAATTGTCCCAAAAAATGCGAAACAAAAATTTAGAAAATGATTTTACAAAACTAGGGAGAGATGAAAAAAGCTAGGGAAAAAGTATATTTATAGTTATTGTTTTTACATTTTAAAATTATGTTATGGAATTATTATAATAATTTCTAAGCTTTCCTTTCTTCTATTTTTATTAATTTCTTGCTAATTTTTTGGGTCATTTCTGCTTTCATTGCTCATTGCCTTCTTCCCATGTTTTACAAAGAAACAAGCTAATTTAGTCTGGTTTCAAACGGTTAGGTGAAGTTAACATATTCAGATTGGAAGGTTAATACATTTATTTATTTATTCAGTCACAAGGTCTTAGATTTAGTGCTTTAGGTGGATGCTGATATTTGGTGTGTGTTTTTGTTGCTAATCTGCAGCAAATTAAGTTTTTATTTTTCTATTTCTATATTGTAAAGACCCAAGACACGCAGGTATTTAATTATGGAGTGTAAGTACCTTGTATGAGTAGTGTGTAGAGGAGCAGTTATATCACAAGACTTTTCTTAATGTGTCATGTTAGCAACTTTGAGGGGAAACTTTCTATGACCCTGAAGTGTCTTCAAAGGTTTAATGCAGCGGTTCCCAAGTGGTGGGTCGCAGGTCCATTCTGAATGGACCACAAGTGACTTGCAAAAGTGTCAAGTTAGTAAAAAACACTATTTATTTTTAAGTATAGTGCATATCTAGCACAGAGCTTTTATTCTGAAGTGTTGTTTTCTGCTGTAGAGTGAGTGATTAACTGAGAGCTATTTGACAGAGACAGCAAAGTAGCTCAAAGACGTGGCCAAACACAAGTATGATGCTGCATATATTAAACTCTGTGGACCTTGAACTAATGACGAAGGAGAGATCTGGACCAGTTGGGAACCACTAGTTTAATCTTTAAAGTTTATTTCAGACTTTGACCTGTGGACTCACCTGTGTCAGAGACTGACAGCGTTTTAAAGCAGCGCCCTCTGCAGGCCGAGCAGAGACCTCCACTCCAGGTGGAGTCCACTCCCGAGTTCGTCCTCCAGCCTCCACCCCAACGAACGTGCCCTCCTCTTCCTCTTCTCTCCTTCCCTTCTCTTCCCGGACCTCCCCTTCTTCTTCTTCCTGCCGGGTGTTTTCAGCACGCCATCCTTGTACGTCTGAGACTTGTTGGTCTCCTGTGGTAGGTTGGTGCCCTCCTCCTCCTCCAGCCTGAAGCTGATGGGGAGGTTCTTGGTGCCTCCAGGGGGTTTGGAGTGCAGGGTGCTGCCGGTGGTGCTCAGGTTGATGCCCAGGCTGACCCCTGGCAGCCCGACGCCGGCGCCGCTGCTGCTCCCGCCTCCTCCTGTGGTCCGGGGAGGGAGGTCGCGAATCTCTGCTGTGTGGACTTCATCCAAAAGCTCCTGCAGCCACATGCGACGCTTGAAATCCTGCAGCGTCCGGCCTTTGTCGTGCATCAGCTGGGCGTGAGTCACAGACCGCTTTCTGTAAAAGATCACAGAATATTTGTTTTCATTAGATGATTCACATATTTCAAATATATGTAGTAGAATGAGCTCGTACTGAGAGGGGAGAGAAGTAAGTAAGAGGTACAGGAAGTACATTTTATTGAAATAGAAGTGTGTGGAAACACTTCCTGACAGGCACAAAGTCTCACCAGACTCATAATGACAACAATATCTGAACTTTGTGCCAAACGTCACTGAATTTTTTTTAGGATTTTGACATGTTGTAAAATATGAAAATCACTTTGAACATATTGCTTTATACTGAACATAAAAGTGGAAATAAAAGTGGAACTATCTGGGGAGGTTCCTTAATTCACCACCAGAGAGCAGCACAGTCCAAAGCATGAGAATGACAGCATCAAACAGAGCAGCACTTTTCCAATAATTCCCCGCTGCATCCAAACAGCAGAATGATTCATCGAACCGCAGGAGCTGAGGCTGTTAAAAGTGATACCAAAGATGTCCGCCCTGCATGATGAGGTCTCTCTTCTGGTTCTTTTCACAGAAAAATGCCAGTTTTCCTTTTAATTATTCATTAATACCAGCGTGGCACAAGCTAAACCTCTGGCACGTCACGTTTCATTAATATGGATGTTAACTGACAGATTCATGGCGCTCGGAGGCCGGGGATGAAATAATGGTGCCACAAACGCTCCAAAAGACATAAAATGAGAAAGACTTGAACTGAATTTCAAATGAAACTGACTTCAGAGCAAACTCCTACACCGAGGCTGTGATGTTACTTCAGAGAATACCAACAAGGAAGAATTCTGCATTATATCAACACAGTTTGGATCATTTACAGTGTTTATCTGATGTTGTTGCAGCGCCACCTACTGGTGACACATACTCCTATGCCTCACACAGAGTTGATGGGTGGTCTATGGAGTGATTTTAAAGGTATTATAGGCTGCAGAGAGATTTGAACTCACAACCTGTGGTTTCTAAGACCAGTGCTTTAACCCCTGACCTATGGAGCCTGTAAAAGGCCCTCAAGAAATCAAAATAAGTCAATAAGTAGTGGATCATTTTGGACCAACTGTACTCAGTTAGATATAGAATATTAGTGTGCCAAATTTGGTGAGGATCGGCCCTAATCTGCCCTTCACATGGTCACGCTCATTGCACCTACAACTACTGTACTCCCTTCTTGATCTATAGCTGAATTTTACACCGAAACTCAATTTTCAACAGTTTAGTGAGGTCACACCTTTTGTATTGTTGGACCGACAGCTACATGTGACACTCCATAACGCGCTGAAGAGATTTTTGCCATTTATTTACAGCTACACTCACTACAGTGTGACCTTTGCCCCTCCTGTGGCAATCTTTGAAAAGTTGATGAGGCCCCAGCGAGATTTGAACTCGCGACCCCTGGTTTACAAGACCAGTGCTCTAACCCCTGAGCTATGGAGCCTTGCATACCAGTGAAGGCCACACCCCCAGTTTGGACCATCCAATGAGACATCACAACAGCAAAACAAAGACTAAAAAGGTGTGACATCTGTTCAGGTGGAAAAAGGGATGTGTCTTATTCTGGAACCTTGAGGCCTCTGAAAGATCTGAACCTTTGGTTTCCAGGATCAGTGCCCTGACTCCTGACCTCTGGCGCCCTGACACAAAAAGGCCACATGGTGGTGCTGTTTGCAAAGATAACAGAAGAACCTGCTCGGCCCTTGGCTGAACTTCACACCAAAATTCATTGAAATTTGTTGTGTTTTTGTGATATCACGAATGTCACGATTGCCCTTTGGAGAAAAGTGTCCGTCTGCCAAATTTAAGTAAAGTAATCCTGCATCTGGAAAACAAACAAGTCTGACACAAGCATCTACCTGCTTGTTGGTAGATGTAGTACCAATACAGACCTTGATTAAAACAACATTGGACTTTGACAAAGTTTTAAGGTGTGACAGATGAAGAAGAGACGAGGAGCTCCAGCTCTCCATCAGCTCTGATTCTGACCAGATGGGACGACCTGTTATCTTTCCAGATACAGTCGGAGCAGCAGAAGGATTCGGGCTTTGCTTTGCCGCGGTGTCTCGTTACTCAGAGTCTTAACTCTTACAAAAACAGAGAGGCAGAGGGCACGGCTCGAAGCCTGGGAACCACCGAGCACCACCGCCGGCCAAACACTTCAGGTGTCTGAGCACACAAACACACCGGCTTCAATGGGAGATACCGGCAGCTGATTAGAGCTGTCAGAGTTTCCCATGATGCCCTCCTCCTCCACCCTTCATCTGGAGGGCGTGAAGCTCCAAAGAACTTCTCAGAAGGTATTTTATACATGTTTTACAGTAGAGACACAAACCAGCAACAAAGGGAAGACTGATGAAACCACAAGGACAAAAAAAATCTCTTTCTTATGCAGCTCCCCCAAAGTGAAAGTGTATTTTTCTGCTGAGTAATAAAAATATCCTGAACAAAACTCGCCTCCCAAACACAGAGGAGCCCCTGAGAGCCGCTTTTGTTTATATGCATACAGATATTTCCTGTAAATCGCGGCCCTATAGAGAGAAAAAACACACTCCCTGTTAATGTGGCGTCTTTGAAAGCTGATCTGGTTCTGTTTTTACCTTTAATAAAGACATCAAACAGTTTGCAGCCAGAGGAAAGAGGAGGAAAATGGCCCTGATACATCCGCTCCAACGCTCCTACCAGATTTTAATTGTTCCTCACTGTGGGAGTCGAATGAAAGAAGGAGTGTGTTTCCTTAGAACCAGCAGTGTGTCATTTCCCAGCGCTGCGTTTGTCTTCAGACATTGAGGCCTCAGACATCGACTCCCAGCCTCCTGTCAGGGGGAGCTGGGATGATGCACGGCCCCGAGGTCTGATAGGCTCATTATGTATAATAAGACTTTTCTGTAATCTTATTTTTATTTTAGGTGAAACACTGAAATGTGTCGGCTTCTAGAAATATTCAAAATTAACATTAGAGACGAGGAACTGACTGAAATGTGTCTGAAAAAAGTACCGAATATCTGATGAGATTCAAAGTCAGTTCACATTTTCAAAATTTTAACAATATTTGACATTTTTTAATGAGGGAAAGCTCTTTCACAGCTGCTTGTGTTTAACATTTGAGAGTTTTGGCTTCTTTTGTAAAGAAGATTTCCAAAAGAGGTTTCGAAATTGAATTCAGGGACTATCCAGAGTTGGGACAAATGAACAACTCTGAACAATTAAACATTAGAAAACTGTTGAAAATGTCCATAAAAAATATTTTAGAGCACAAAATTATGTCTTAAAATCAAAAACCTCCCAAAATAATCGTTTGACTGTGATGAGACACCAAAGAAAGAAGCCAATCCTCGTGTTAGGAAACCTGGAAACATCAAATTTTTGGTATTTTTACTTTAATGGTGACAAACGATTAATCTAATGTCCAAATTTTGATTTACTAATTAAATATTAAACTATTTCTTGCAGCTCTAAACACTGCAGATTATTCTCTGCCAATGTGTTGACCCAAAAAGTTCGCGAGCCAAAAGCTTCGTGACCACCTCTTGAAGATTAAAGTCTTTCTTTGCCAAACTCAAGCTACATCCAATTTCCGAAACATTTGATCCAGCCTACAAACAGTGTTTGTGTGATTCCCAGCCCATGTGTTGACTGGATTCTGACCCTAAAAAGCTCATGATTCGCGACCACCTCTCTGACATCGTTTGTGCCAAACTCAAGCCACATCTAATTTCCGAAAGTGTACAAACGTTCGTTCCAGGCTACAAACGGCACTTGTGTGATTCCCAGGCCATGTGTCGAGTGGCTTATGACCCAAAAAGTTTGCGAGCCAAAAACTTTGTGACCACCTCTCTATCATCAGGATCTATGTGTGCCAAATTAAAGCTACATCTAATCTCAGAGCCTACAAACAGAGGCCACGGCAGCAGACAGAGGAGGTCAGAGGTCACCAGCTTCCACCGCTGTGTGATTTCTACCTCGCAGTTTTCATCGCGTCCGTGTTTTCCTTTCCACTCAGGTGGCGTTTAACCCTCGTCCTGAAATCCTATTAAGTGCATATCACACGATGGGTGTAGCTCTATTTCCCTTGACATCAGCATAACAGGCCCCACACACTCTCTCTCATCCCCGAGGGCGGAAACTGCTGGAGCCCGTTAACGTAAACCCGGACGACACAAGACTCGACTCTGAAAACTCAAAGTGCCGCCACCAAAATGCATTTCAGATGTGTTCTCTCCCTCTGCCCTGACGCTGAGGAGAAAATCTGACTTACAGATTGTTTCAGAGCCTTCAGAGCATCATTTCATTAAAAACTGATCACATCCAAAAACTGTCTCAGAGATATTATCTTTCCAAAAAGCTCTCACAGTGTGTTTAGCGTTCTGGCTTCACGACTTGAAAGAACATTTATTCTGTTTGGCATCAAACAACCTCAGCAGGAGCAGCAGGTTTGGTTTGGTCCACAGCCGAGTCGAACATCAGCATTATTCATTTCCCTCCGTTCGAAAAGACTCGCAGTGTTTGCCCGGAGATGGACACCAACAGGGAGAGGGTGTTAGAAAGTCTGAATCCTCCAGACTACACCCTCAAAGTGTCAGATAAAGAGGCACAAACCCTCCGAGAGTCCTGGACGGTTTCAGACGAGGGCTGCTGGGAGTTTATCACCCTGAGACGGTTTCTGCTTTAGGTAAACACACAGGTGGGCGAGGGCTAACTAAACAGCTGCCGGCACGTTTCACAAATGAACACATTTTCCAGTCTGCTCGCCCACCGTGTCGAGGGTGTTTCAGGGGGGCTGGAAATAAATGCAGAGATTGAGAGCAAATATTGGAAAAGAAGATTATCTGGGAGTTTATTCTACTTTCTGGATTCTGATTGAGGAACAGAGGCGGGTGGTGTTCGAGAGAGAGAGAGAGGAGCTGAGAGGCTGAAAAATGTGCAAAAACTTACATTCTGTTGCTCAGGGCATCAATCGGACGCCCATAGTGCGGCACCGGAGAGCAGAGCAGGAACAGAGCGAAGCACCACTGCTGCAGGACTCTCCTGGAGCAGAACATCTTCCTGTAAATAAAAACAAACAAACACATCAACAACCTGAGCTGAAAACACACATCTCCTCACACCTCAAAAGCTGAAATGCATCTCGGCACCATCTATTTGTAAACTCTGACAGCCTGCCAGCTGACAGCTTTCCTCTGGGCTCCAGTTGTTGAAATGATTAACTTCACACTCTGCAGACGAGTCGCTGCAGAAACCAGTCCAACATGTTTCAGAGCAAATTCCTAATGAAGCCACAACAAAGCTGGAATTAAACAAACCAAAACAAATGTGGGGGAGGAGGAGAAGAAGAAGAAGACAAGTTAACGGGAAACTTACTTTCCCACAGCAATGTCTGTCCCACACGGAAAAAAAGGATAAAGTAAGAGAAAGAAAATCACTTATGTCCTTTTCTCAAACTTTCCAGTCCACAAATAAAGAACGTCTCAGGAGACACAATCCAGGTGATGACACCTTGGGGGAACGGAGACAAAAAAAAAATCCCCACGAGCCAAAAGACATCCAGGAGTCTCAGTTTTTTATTTAAGTTCCTCAGTTTTAAAACTCCTAAAAGTGAAGAAGAAGTCCAGTGCGCAGCGGCAGCAGTCCGTCCTCCAGGTGTCCTCCAGTTAAAGGTGAGTGTTAGAGTGATGGCAGGGCAGGCAGTGCGTGGACGAGCTGAGGCTGCACTGCTGCTGCTGCAGGTCGATCTGATGGGAACGTTTGCTGCATGCTGCCTGAGTGCCTGAGAAGGTCAGAGGCGAAGGGAAGGGGAGGACTTCTTAACAAAGGAGGAGGGCCTCCATCATGTCTCTGCCCACTGACTGAGGAGGACTCGGGGAGTGAGAGGAGGAACGGCAGGAAGGTGGCACTCGAGCAGCACACAGTGAGTCAACTTCAAACCACAGCTGGAGGTCAGCGAGAGCTAAAAATAGTGTGCGTTTGATCAGGAGTCTGGTGTTTGTTATATTTTAGTGTCGAGAATATTAATTCATGCTCGGCAGATGAGACGACGACACATGGAGATGATGAACCAACATCAAGAGCACTGAAAATTATAATTACAGAAGACGAGACAAACACAAAACAAAGGTGACAAAGTTAAAAGTTAAACAAACAAACAGTGAGAAAACAGCTGAAGATGTATGAGGAGTGATTAGTGCCAAAACTGCTTGTCCTTCTGTTCACGTTGACAGTTATGTGTGCCGTTACTTGTGTATAGTTATACACAGGTCTTTTTGATGTTAGATATAGAAACTATTATAATTATTTTTATAATTACATGTCTTTACATTTTTTTGTTTTTTTGCGACATAAGTAAGATTTACTATTATTTTGCTCTACGGAGAAAAATTAAAACAAAACTTTTTTTTTTCTGTTACAGCAGTCTGAGAAGAAATATAACTATTTTTTCTACAAATCCCCCTTTTTTTACATTTAACATTGTTTAAAATGTATTTATTTAATTCTATTAAATTTAAAAGAGGTCAGAGGTGTCAGACGTCGAAACGTAGAAAACCTGTTAATTATTTGGTGTAGCATTAATTTAAAACCAAAGCTAAATGATCTCTATCTTTTTAAATTAATGATGTTAGTTATAAGTGGTTTGATAAAAGCAAATTATTTGTGACATGGGTTTTGCTTGACAAGCAGAAACTTGCATCACATCCCTTTATACTTTAATTCTTTTAACTTAAACTTAAAGATTCACATTGACTAAAGAAGAAAATATCTGTTTTCTCAAATTCAAGAAAAGTTCTCACAATAAAATCTATATTTTGTATGTACAAGGTGAGGATAATGTAAAGCTTCCACAGAAACTCTCAGTGAATGATTTTCAGTTGTTTTCACGATGATCAGGTCTTGTCAAGAAAATGCCAAACGTCATGCTTCTATCATTTTCAGATGACTTTACCACTACACTAAGACTTGGAGGTATTTCCTGTCTGATGCACAGTGACATCTGGAGTTGGTGTCACATCAGTAACTCTGGGCCATCGCTGGCCTTTATACGCCCACTGCAGACCTGAAGAGTCTGTCTCAGGTACAAAGTCGGCCTCTGGACATGAAGCTAAACCTGAGCGGAGTGGATGAGGTCTGGCAGGATGAACCCTGAAACCGTCAGCAGTGTCAAGACGTGCACAGACACGCAGCATGGAAACAGTAAAACTAAAAATATCCAAGCAGGACATCTTTGAACATTTTTAAGTCAAGTAGAAACTATACAGGAATGTTATTTTTTGCACTCAAAATCAAAGAAACCAGCACACCATTGTCTCCGAATGAACCCAAAGCATGTTCAGTCCTTCAGCCATGACTCTAGTGCTGCACAGTGCTGCCACTGGTGGCCAGAAAATATATAAAAGAGACAACCAAATTTTTAAAAGTAGTATTTCTGTAATTTTATAACTGTTATGAGGTGCTGAGTGATTGAGATGAAGTGGCATGTATCATGGTCTTTGATCTGGACCAGGCTGGCGGACACATTGAGGAGGAAAGTATGCTTCCTATTTAAGGTTAATAAAATAGGAAAGAGGATTTTATTTCAACTGTATTTTATGCTTTTTATAGCACGAGGCTAATAAAAGCAGCACAGTGTGAGAGGTTACATAAGAGCACAATGAGCCAGAGAGCAGTGACAGTGTTGGTGGTCCGAAGCTGTTTGATCCACAAAGTCAAGAATGGTTTCCACCCAGAGTCACACTTAACATGATCAGATCAGATTCCTGTGATCCAGCGTCACGATCTGTGTGCAAATAAAGTGCTAAAGATCAGAAGTTAAAGATGATTGCAGTTAATTACAATTAAAGAGAGATCGGATTTACAGGTCAGGAGAGGCTGACGTGCAAATGTGGATCATGAACGCTTCACAACATCTGATGTGCAGATGGTGGAAATGTATTAATAGTATTTTGAAATAATCGGTTCTGTATGTCGGAGGCTGCAGAGGAGGTCACACACATGGTGCTCTCAGCTGATTCAAGTAGATATTCAAATGTCGGAGGTCAACCAGAGAAAGTTACTGAAACTGTAAAATTTTCAACAATTTTATTCTAACTTTTTGTAGCTTTTTGGCTCAGTTGCGTCTTAAGTCACAACTTAATGACATTATAAATGATTAGAAACTATTTTTAACCTCTTTTTGTAATCTCCCGTAATGCTGCGTTCACATGGAATCAGGTAGACGGCAAACTGGATATTATTTTCATGGTAAAATGAGGTGAAGCCGGCAGAGAACACCAGCAACGTCAACGGTAGATGGCGTTGCCATTCAGAGTTAAAATATGTTAATTTTTTGCATTCCTCCGTAGAAGAATTTACCACCGGATGTTACTTAGCTCCCACGCACAAGGAGAAAACATGGGCAATCTGGACATGATGAGAAAAATTACGTAAAGTAATAAACATAAGATAATTTATTATATTTCAATGCATTCAATGTATAAACAGTACAGCATCATCAGCGTAATATTTCATCATGCATATGAATTGTGAACGCAGTGTTAAGATCATCGTATGCTTCACATAAATTATGTCGTTCACAGAAAGTTACTTAAATTGCTTGTAAAATTTTCTATTTTAATCTAAGTTTTTGCTGTTGCAGAGAGTGATCACAGCTTTTTACGGAAGACGAGAGCAGCAAATATTAGCTTATGTTTTTGGGATCTGTTACCTGCTCACTGTCACAATTTTGTCATACATGATTATAAACTACTGTTTTAGGCTGCTTTCAGACCTAGAGTTGTCTCCCTTGGCCTGAATCAGGAACTCCTTTAGTTACAAAGTCATCATTATCACTTTGCACTGCCATATAGCAACTGTTCTCACCTCAAAAAGAAGCTTTTGCCCGTTTTGATAAATACCGTTTGAGCGTTTGTCTCGTAACATTTTATGAGTAGCTTAGCAACTGAAATGTCAGATTTGGGAGTTGGACATTCAGGACGTTTGTAGTGTGGCTGGATCAGGGGTAATACAGATCAAAATATCTCACAACTACTGGCCAAATTCTCACTAACTTTGTTGTTGATATTCTTAAACCCCAGAGGACAAACCCCTTAAAGTTTGATGGCTTCAAAAAGAATTCGTAGAACGGTCATTACATACGTAACTTTTGTTTGGAGTTGTAATTTACAGTATATATTTATTTACATGGGTTTGAATGCAAAACATGGACAAGTTCAAAGTTGAGTTGTGACTTTGATGACCCCTGTTAGTCATATCAAATAAGAGGCTAGGATACACGATAATGCTTGGGTCTAACATGAATACAAGATGAACACAAAGGGGCCGAAAGCAACACTTCGACTGTGCCGGTCTTCATGAGGAAAGTCCCATTTTGTAACAAAAAACTTATCATAATCAAATAATCTCAGAAGAATCTGCATGTAGTGGCTTTAAGTAAAGCATATGAGTTTCCTGAGTTAACCTCCACACATGGGAGCCTTCAGTCCATTCTACAGAGCAAACAACAGTAAGTCAGACAAACACTGCGGGCAGCAGCGCCATTCACCCTCCACCGCTCTGACTGACACGTGTTGAAATATCAGAAATGTGTTCCAGCTGTCGCCTGCGACAATTAAAACCAGATCTCCAAGAGAGAAAACCAGAAACACACACTCACTCAGAGGGTCTTATCTCTCAGGCAGGACCCCCAGAATATCTGTGTGGAAATCATTTGCGGGGGAAAATGTTTACACAAGCATGTGGCATCAACATTTCACACGTCGGGAGATTTATGGGTAATTGTACAAGTTTTTTATATCCCAGCTCCATGTGAATACTGGCTTTAAAGCATGTTTAGAAACAACAGACATATGATAAATGTTACTTTTACATTTGAGAGAGCTGACTTCACACAAATGGTTTTTCTTTCTCTTTTGGAGGGTGAGGAAGTTGAACAATAGCTGATTGAGTCGGTTTTAAACTGGTCTAAAGCAGAGATGTTCATTGGGGTATTTCTGCACTTAACAAGGGGGTACCTGGAGAGATTGCAGAATATGTCAGCTAATCAAATCTCTGGTTTCCAAAATGAGACGACCCTTATGCCAGCTTGAGTCAATGGCACAATGTGGCATGTAAACAATACACCCCGACAGCCTATTGACACAACATCTCAACACCTCAAGTTGCAATTGATAGCGTGAGAACTAGATTGCAACGAAAGAGAGACACTGATATAGATCAGTAAACATAACTGATACATGGTGGAAATGTCCAGCAGTGCAAAAGCAAACTTAATCAATCATCAACAATTACAGGATCTCTACGACTGCTTTCCTGTCGTTAAACCTGCAGTAACATTGTTTGGCCACTGGGGGCAACACAAACAATCTGTACACACATTAACAAATAAGCTTTTAAGTCGATATTTTCAGCTTTCAAAAAGCCACCAACCTCTGCACCCAGCAATGTGTGTCCACTCGATGAATATGAACTCTGTTTTAGCTCTGTTTTTGGTCTCCACCAGCTCCTGAAGAAAATATCTGTTGCTGTAGCTGCTAAATGCTCCACTATGTTCACCAGCTGGTCTCCAGCTGTGTGTGTCTGCTGTTTGCTGCTGAGCCAACACATTCTCACTCCGACTTTGTCACATATTAACATTTTGGTCATGGACTTTCCACGTCCACATACGATGTGAAGGTACCCTGGGTGCGTTGGTTGTTGGCGTTCTAGGACACCGTGTCAAGTTCTGCCTGTTCCATTTTCACAGGAAATTTTAACGTTTGCATAC